AATGAGCAAGCAGATTACTTAGCTAAAGAAGGTACTAGGAGAACAGATATACTCAAAGTACTAGAAACAACACTAGGCAATATCCGAGTTATACCAAAGTGGAAAGACCAAATAATAGACTGCTTACTCAGATCATTTGTAAACATAACAACTGTGATAACATACGAAACAGAATGGGCCGAACTAAGCAAAGTAGCAGATATCATAACCCTGAATCAGAGAGACAATGCTAGCAAAGAGCCAATTTAGAAAAATACTTGGGAAGCACTTAAAAAGCAATAAGGAAAAAAGTACATTAGTCTAAAGAAAAGCAGAGACCTAATGTTTCGTATAAAATGTATCAATGATATTTTACTAACAAAAGATATCTGCTATCTGAGAAATCCCAAACTATACAAGAGCAGTAGATGCATAGCCTGCTTAAGAAAGGACAAAACTTTGTATCACCTAGCAGAATGCGAAATCTACCAAAAGATATAGAGGAACCTAGAAGAGGAAACTCTATATCTAACAAGTCTCGAGGTGTTAACAAAGTTGGATCTATCACTTGAAGATGACGCGTTGAGGAAAGCACTCTATAGTGAAAACCCAAAAGAAAAGATGCATATCAGAAAGATGCACCTCAGAGGTCTCACAAATAAGAAGCAACATGCAGATATATGCAAAATAGCGAAGTCCAAAAGCAAGGCAAACAAGGTATTAATCATTTTTATTGAACAATTCTGGTTTTGTTTCTATAAACGATTATGGAAGTTCAGATGTGAAGTGATGGTTGAATGGGAAAAAGAGCACAACATTACAACTAAAGAGAAAAAAAAGAAAAAGATAAAGAAAAAAGGAAAGGCGAATAAAGAGAATGTATCTTCTACAAATGAAACAAAAGAATCAAAAAAGGAGAAAGAAACAAGAATCCAAAAAGTAGCCTCTGACAGAGTTGACAGATGAATAAGGTTAGGTGGTAAGAAAGGATGGTTAAGGTTCAAAACAAATTAGGTGATTTTGATATAGGCTGGTAGCAGCCTCTCGCTGACTAAGAGCTAGTAATTTGTATATACAAATTTAAACTCTTACGAGAGAAATAGTTGCTGCGGCAGATCGCACTTAGGTGCTAAAAAGTAACTGAGTGAGTTCGGATTAGTTTTAGGAAAGTAGTTTGTTATAAATAGTGTAGCATTTTACTTGTAGCTTAAATTAGCTTATTCTTAATAAAATGATGAGCAAGATCGCCTAAGTTTAAAAAAAAAAAAAAAAAAAAAAAAAAAACTAAAGGTATATAGCATGTTTTAGAGAAGATAAGACCTTCTACTATTTAGCAAAATATAAGATCTATTTAAGAATTTAGAAAGACTAGAGAAAGAAACTATATAGCTAACAAAGCTAGAAGTTCTAATAAAATTAGATTTATCTTTTAGTAAAAAATCTATTTAAAGAAACAATTTATAGTATAAGACTTAAGAAAAACTATATAATTAAAAGATGTATCTAAGAAGGCTTACAAGTATTAAATAGCTAACAAGCTTATATAGAATAATATAGTCAAAAAAAAAAGTAAATAAGGTTTTAGCTAACTTTATAAAATATTTTTAAGAATATTTTTATAAATGTCGATAAAAGTTTCATTATAAAATTATAGTAGACTGAGAAAAGAAAAATAATATTTTAGAAGGTCTGGTAATCTTAGTATAGTAGTTAAGTTACCAGACTGCCATACAAGAGATCTAGAGTTCAGATCCTACTGTTGACAAATTTGAATAATTACTCGAACCTTTGTACCTAACTTATGATAAACCTTGTTCGTTTCTGAGGGTTATAACCTTGTAAATCATATTGCACTAATAGTATTCAGATATTAGAAGTATGACAAAGTATGTAATATTATATGAATAAATCTTGATAGAATCTATGAGCAGGGACCTGCATAGTAGAAATCCTGAGTTGGTAAAGTAGTATGGCTTTGACAATTACATTAGCTAATACTTGATCTAGAAAGGAAACTATCATCAAAAGATGTAGATCAAGTCAGGTGCGTATAAATCTGTTCTACAGGAAGGATAATACTAATCTGGCTTAGTAGCTAACTAAATTAGGAGGATCTGCTTCATAAAATATTCGAGAAGATAGATATAGAAAACTAGTAGAAAGCCACAGTAGGAACTGAAGTTATATAAACATCTACAAGGATTTAAGCTAAATGAATCTGTAAAATAAGTACAAACCACTCTAGTAAGTTTACTTCTGAGGTTAACTGGAGCTCTGCAGCTCATAATATGTTAGGCATATGTATTTCAAGAGGATCTAAGCTATACAGAGAATAGATCTACAGGTGAACTGGCTAGCTTAAGTGATCAGTTATAGTAGTGACATTAGTTTAGGATAGGAAGAAGGATTAATAATTAGAGTGTTTAAATAGGTAACTCACAAGCAGGTTGCAGGTATGGCAGCATAGTGTAGAACCAACAGATGGTCAATTATTTGTATAGTAGACTACTTAAATTAGACAATAACTAAAGTTGTACATGTGGCTTGTTGTACATTCATCATATAACTGTAAAACTTTAAGAAACTATTCATGTGATAGTTCTGTAATAACAAACTAATAAAATCTAATTGGCCAAGGAAGTAGCTTTAATAACAAAAAAAAAAAAATAATAATAATATCTTAGCTAAAAAAAAAATATAATAAAAAAAAAATAAAAATATAAAAATATAAAACTCTATGATATTAAAAAAGAAGATACAAAAGAAAAGAAGATAAGAATACAAGAAAAAGCTTTAAACAAAGTTAATAAATAGATAAAATTAGATAAAAAAGAAGTATGAATTAAAATTAAAACAAAATAATCAATCTTGATATAGGCTAGTAGTAGCTTCTTGTAGACTAGAAGTTTAGAATTTGTATCTGTAGACTAAAGCCTCTACAAGAGAAATTGTTATTGTAGTAGATTATATTTGAATACTTTAAAGTAGCTGAGTAAGTTCAAAATAGTTAAAAGAGAGTACTTTATTATTTGTTATTTTATGTTTTAGATTTTTGATAGTAATATATTTTATAACTTCTATAAGCTTTTTTTGAATAAAATAATGAGCAAGATCATTAAAAAAAAAAATAATAATAATTAGTATTGAAATAAAAATTATAACTTTATAAATTATTCAAATTGCTTAAAATTAATTACTTCTTTTTTTTAACAAGAAATATTATTATAATAATATCTATTATATATTATAAAAGTAAATTCTTATATAGAATTTATATCTACTTATTAGTTAAATAAAAAAAAAATACATTGTTCTAAATTATTAGTAATATAAAAATTGGAAATTATTTTTTGTACCCCAAATTTAATATTCATACCCCTCTAGAAATTAAAAGATTTTTAAATTTTAAATGAAGATATTTTAACAACTACATGATCAAATTTAATAAAAATTTTTTTGTTTGAATTCTACGAATCTCTAAAATTTGAATAAAAAAATTTTTATTGAATTTGGTCAGGTAGTTGTCGAGATATCTTTGCTCAAAGTTAGTAAATAATTCAAAATGTCTATCAAAATAGAAGCTGTATTAAATTTTTTTTAAACTTTGAGTAAAAATATCTCAACAACCACCTGACCAAATTCAATGAAAATTTTTTTATTTAAATTCTAGAGATCCATAGAATTCAAATAAAAAAATTTTATTGATTTTAGTCAGGTAGTTGTCAAGATATCTTCATTCAAAGTTTTAAAAAAATTTTGGCGCAACTTCTATTATGATAGATATTTTAAATTATTTACTAACTTTGATTGAAGATATCTTGACAACCACCTAACCAAATTCAATAAAATTTTTTTTATTCAAATTCTAGAGACTCATAGAATTCTAACAAAAATAAATTTATTGAATTTGGTCAGGTAGTTGTCAAGATACCTTCATTCAAATTTTAAAAAAAATCTAGTACAGTTTCTATTTGATAGATATTTTGAATTGTTTACTAACTTTGAGTGAAGATATCTTAATAACCACCTGACCGAATTTGATGAAAATTTTTTTGTTTGAATTCTATAAATCTGTAGAATTCGAACAAAAAATTTTTTATCTAATTTGATCAGGTAGTTGTCGAGATATCTTCGTTCAAAATTTAAAAATCTTTTAATTTCTAGAGAGGTATGAATATTAAATTTGGGGAGTACAAAAAATAATTCCCTAAAAATTTTATCATTATAAAAAATATAAAAATTTTTATTACTATTTATATTTATTATTATTTTTTTTATAAGTTTTCTATAGATAGACTTTTTGTAATTAGATAATTCTACTTATTTTTTTTAACTAAAAAACTTTTATTGCATATTAATACAACTAAACTAATACTAACTCTTAATAATATTAATTTTTTATAAATTAATTCAAAACTTTAATAGTATTATTAATTAATAATAATAAACTATTTCTAATAATTGATATATTTTATTAATTTATTAGTATTATTTATTTTTAAAATATATATGTATTCAAAATCAAGAACTTAATAAAAGTAGTAACAATAGCATAGATAAAAAATTATTATATAAATGCTAAGAATATTATTATTAATTAAATAATATTTCATATATCATATAATTAAAGCTAGTAATATAAATTTCAAATTGTATGTAAGCTAAATTTATTTGTATTTACACTTTGTAAGTTAAAAAAATTTTTTTTTTTATTTAAAAGTTTTTTTTTATTAGTTCTTATCTGAATCATATAAATTACATAATTTTCTAACCTAATCTATTACAATTTTTGAAAAAAAAACATCTTTGCTTGATAGTTTTCTGGCTCAATTTTAAAAAAAAACCACCTTCACTTGATTGTTTCTGACCTAATCTATAACAATTTGAAAAAAAAGTTGCCTTCACTTGATCGTTTCTGGCCTAGTCTATTACAATTTAAAAAAAACTAAGAAACTCATCACGATAATAAAGAAAAAACCAATTAATGATCACGATCAATAATAAAATTATTATTGGATAGTTCATAGAGTTATTGAATGTGAAACATCCAATAATTTAGTTATTTGGAAAGCCCTATCATAGTAAAATACCGGATAATAGTTTTTTTTTTTTTTTTTTTTCTAAATCAAAGTTAAAAAAAAATAAAAAAAATACATATTTGATACAAGTTTTATATACGTATGAAATTTTGTAAAATTTTATATGTAACAAATCGTGTGACTGGTAAATTAGAGTATATAGATAGTTAATAAATTATACTTATTAGACTGTTAAAAAGATACTTTTTTAGATTAACGTTAATAAAATTTTATTAAACCCCTACGTATAAAAGTACTAAATAGTATAAAAACTTAAAATCTGTACGTAATAGTTTTTAATAAAATTTAGTCATTTTTTTTTATTAATTAATTACGTAATAATAAAAAATTGACCGTCAGACACAAAAAAATCGGCTTAACCAATTAGATATAAAAAATTGACCGTCAAACACAAAAAAAAAATCGGCTTAACCAATTAATTATCTACCAAGATTCATCTACATATTGAAGGAACGACTAATAAAATTCCAAATTTTGTGGAGATATTCAACTTTTTGAGAATACACTAATTAAAACATTTAAAAAAGAATTCTGTGAATGTAAAGTCGATCCGCCGATTTTTTTTCTATAAATCGAAAATTAATTTTAATTATCGACAAAAGGATTGTTGGTTATTCTGAAAAATAATTTAGGAAAGTATCGCTAATTAATTAATTACTTATAAGGTAAAAGATTATCGCAATATAGAATATTTACTATTAAAGATTTTCGTTTAAAATGTACTTAAAAAAATATATATATATACGTACATATGTAAGGTTTAAAAAAAAATTCACTCCATTTGGTTTAAAATCTTCAGGGGCTGTATGCATTGTACGTATAATCATTAAAACCTGATCATGAGTTTTATGACATAAATTTTGGTTAACCTTATTAAGAAATTAATTTATCATTAATTAGTGAAAAGCATTTAATAGTATGTTGTATCTCTAAATAAATAAGTATAAAGATTTCATTCAAAAACTTACACAAATTATGCATTTAATTATGTGAAATATTGGTCAAAAACAGATTTATATAAATTGAAGAGCGCGAAAAAAAAAAAAGTACTTAATGCTTTTGCGTTAGCCTTTAGGTTCTCAATTTTTAAATCAAGTTTAGGGGAAAAAAATCAAAAAAAATCAAAGAAAACGAAGATACGTTTCTTAAAATAAAAATGTCTAATAGTAATGATGTGTTATTGCTATATGATACGTAACGGAATGCTATATAAACTAGGGTTTTTTCCTAGAAAATTATCTGGCCCATACATAAATATTGTCTGCTTTTATTCGCCTCACTTAGTACGATTCTAACGTAAACAGTAAATGATCCTTCTGAAACTCTGATTTTACAGCCATTTTGTTAACTGACTTTATATGTCGTTATGATATATAAAAATAAAATGATCGATAAAGTGGTCTTAATGATGTTTAACATATTGTCTTTACTATGATCACATATACATTGTCTAATCATTTTAATTACGTGTAGGGTACAGTAATTACTGTATAACGATAACTGATAAATTACACCATAAAAAAAATCAATTTATTGACAAAAATATTGACTTAATTTTATTAATTAATATTGTTACATATATGATAAACTTAAATATTTTCATCTTTCCACTAGAAAAAGAAGGGTTTAAAGAACTCAATATATTTAAAAAAAAAAAAATATAACATTTAAAAGAAAAAAAAAAATCTACAAAAATTTATTTGCATAATATATAATTACTAATGAATATAAAAGAAGTGTGTATATACATATATTTATATATATATTGCATATAAAAAAAAAATTTAACAACACGCGATTTTTCATTATAATATTTTAAATAAACCATAGACCCAACTATTCAAAATTAAATTCTTTTCTAAAATAAGTAATTAAAGTTTCGCGTGATTTTATGGTTTTTTTTTTTGAAAAAAAAAAAAATATATAATATTTAAAGAATCATAAAAAAAATCCAAGATCATTCAACTGATTAAAAATCGAATATGATCAGAGCCATAAAGATTTGTAAAGAGGAAGAGATGAAGATCCAAGAATGGTTCCGTTATAGGAAACCACTTTCTTGTAATAATCTTGCAATTTTTTCATCCTCTCGTTCCCTGTAATGAAAATCAAAATATGTTGATTTTATTCCATAAGTCAAATCTATGTTTAGTATATTATCATAAAAGGTATTTTCAAAAATGTATAATTTAACAAGTTCAACAAAAAAAGTCCATGAAAAATTATACATAATCTATTTTATTTATAGGAGGATGTATATATATATATATATGTGATTCTAAATACAATCCATTAATGAAAATGAAATATTACCTTGGCTCCATATCCAAACTTGTATTATATAATTCGCTAACATCTCTACTATCTTGTAAATGACTTTGAATGAAAATTTGAATTTCTTGTACAGCAGTAAGATTATAAGGTACAGATTGAAACTGTTGAATTTCACGTATCACATCTGCTGTTTTCATTCGCTTTAAAAAATTAATTAATGATTGATTTTTTTTAAGAACATCTGGATTACCATCTTCAATAAAAGTAAGATCGGTTAAATAAACTCCTAAAATAATTAATTAATTAATAAAAATATGTTAATATTGTATAAATATTTTATTATATACTAATTTTATCTTAATCTTACCCAAAAATGGTACGCAAGGTGGATTTACACTATGTAACATTTCTCGATAATCGAAGAAATTCTTTGTAGAGTTCATAATTCTGTTAAGGTTATCAAGTGTTTGTATTGTTCGTGCATTAACCATCTCCCATGTTCGCTTAAGACGATGAATCGGTGCAGAATTAAGTCCGGAAATAATTGCCGTTAAGGAATTGAAGTTATTTAATTGTCTACACTTATCAGCTACTGCAACAAAATGTTTAATCAAATTGCATCGTTTTTTGATTTCTTTTTGATTAAGAATAGATTCAGCTACCCATCCAGTAATCTATATATTAAAATAAAATGTTAAATTAAATTTTATTTAAAAATATTCAAATCAAAAAAATTAAAATCTTTAAATAATTTAAAAATATTATTTACTTGATTACTATTAACAATCATAGCTTTAATATTTACGGCTATTTCTTCTGTTTCGGTACCTTCATCTTCTTTACTTTCTTTACTCCAGGCTTTATTCAGACATTCAACCGGTCGAATTTTATTATATAGTTTGGCTTCTATTATAGTCAACTGTCTTGCAATTTCTAATGGGTCCAAATCCAAAAATTTAATTTTTTTCAAATTTTTTGGTTTAATTGAAGGTGGAGGTAACATGGAATTATTAGGAATCATTTCTTTAAAGACAGCATCTTTTCGTTGTTGTAACTTTATATATAAAGAAAGAAAAAAAAAAATTAAGTTAAACTTATCATCGTATATATATATATAAAAATTATGTAGATTGTAAAAGGAATAAATACCCGTTTATCAATGACCTTGATCAAACTCACTGCCGCAAAAGCCATATGTTCATGCATTGTAGTTGATGCAAATTGACGTATACGTTCCAAACAATATGAATCTTGATCATCAATATAATAATTCTCCAACCAACTCTTCATGATATTAAAAACTCTTAACCTAACAGGTGTTTGTTTTTTCTCTTGCCAAATTTCATGTTGCTCAGGTGTTAAATTATCAGGAGGTGAAATCATGAAACGTTTTTTTAACATATCAAAGAATTGTTCAGTGGTACAAAATGAACGATATGTCAATAAAAATGTGGCTATAAAAGCTGAATCAAGTAAATCGTGCATAGTTAATCTTTCCACCAAAGCATTTAGAGTACCACCTTTAACATGCCTTTCCATATTAAAAATTATTTCAGATTCATCATAATCATATTTAAGGAACCAAGGTTTATCTTCACGCTGTACACGTGTTTGATTTATGGATTGAACATCTTCACCAAAGAATTTTGTGACCTTACTAGTCTCGCTACGTGGCGATTTCGCACCACTTGGATTATTATTAGCAGGTAACGGAGGAGAAGATGATCGTTGATAATCAGATTGGACGGTAGATTGAGTATTTACACGTTGAGATGAATTAGATGAATTACTATAGGATTGAACTGATGATGAATCTGCGACATTATCACGAAATTGATTACTTGAACTGCTCACAAATGAACGACCACCAGTCATAGAAGAGCCACCATCTGAAACTGGAGACATTGGTGTTTTATCGGAGTTATCTACCATATTGATTGTATTTAAATCAGTTACGACAGTGGATGATTCTGTAATAATAACATCATCTTCAGGTACAGTTTGTAAACCTATTTGAGTCGTTACTAGAGGACTGATAGGAATAATATTTTGATCATCCATAATTTCAACATTTTCAGTGACGTCACTCGTACCATTTTCAATCGATGTAACACGTCGTTTTGTTGGTGATAATTCAGAAGAATTAGAAAGTCTAGAAGCACGCTGTTGAATTTTTAATTGATCTTGAGTATCTTTTTCTTCCATAAGGGATTTTGAAGCAATTATCAAATCTTTTACGGATTTTTCAACAACATTAGCAGAAATTTGAACATGATCCACTACACTAGATTTGACAGATGGATCGGTAACACTTTGAGCACAAATTACTAAACCAGCAATATTATTATATAGAGCTTGTTTCGCAATTTTAAAATTATTTATGAAACTTTGGCTAGTTTCATCTAAATCTTCCAAATTAATATCCTCGATCAATGATATAAATTGACCAACATATGTAACAACTTGACGTATCTGTGTCATTAACTGTGGTGCAAAGCTAGCATTATTACCGGACAAGGAAGGTTGAGGTATTTCCATATGCTTTCTTATAAGATTATTTATTAACATTATAGTTTTTGTGATATTACGAGAAAAGTGTTCCAATGAAACCAAAATGTCGGGAGTCAAAGAACGAGAAGGTCCAGTGGAATCAACACTATCTTGAGAACTAATACTTGATGTTATAGATGGAGCATAAGGTTTCCTACCATTAATAGTAAGATTATTACCACGCCAAGAACCACCAATAACACTCTCTATAATTTTAGGATCAACGGGCCTAATATCTACAGTATGTTCAGCAGCTTGTACGAACTGACGAACTGACACCAAAACTTCTTCAGCATCATTTTTCATTTTTTGAGCAGCATCAGGAGAAGGCCAAACACCAGCAGCGACTTTTGTAGATAGGACCAATTTTGAAAGAGAAGCCATTATATGCCTATGATAAGTTTTTAAAGTTCTATTTTGACGAATAATCGAAGATTCTTTTTCAACGGTACCAGAAGCATAAAGCATGATACGAATACTTTCAACAATAGCATTCGTACAATTTTGGTAATCTTGTTTCATATTTTCTTTCACCGACACAGATAAATTATTAATAGCTGAATAAATTGTATTGGATAACGAATCCCAACTGTATTGTTCGTTAGAACTTCGAATAAGAATAGATTGATCAGTATTCTTCTGAAGAGGAGGAAATATCGCAGTAGGAATAGGAGGAGGAGTAGGAGGAAGGGGGGGTAAAGGATCAGCTGGAGCTTCATCCCCAGAGCCAACACCAGCACCATAAGGTATAGCATCATCATCAGTTTTAATCTAAAGAGAATAAAAAGTAATGAAATAATCATAAAGATGAAAATTTTTTAAGTAAACTGAAAACAATAACTTACCAGACGACCATTCTCATCAATATTATCAAGACTCCAAGTAGTCTCTTCAGTTGTGTTATTAAAGTAATAATCTTTTCCTTGAGGACTAGTTTTCTTACCCCAACCAGATGGAAGCTAAAAATAAAATAATAATAATAACAATATATAAACGAAAAAGACATAATAAAAAATAAAATAAAATAAAATAGTAATAATAAAATAATAATAATTTATGAAATAAACACATACATTTTCGCTGGTAATTGGTTGATTGGTACTAGTAGTGCTAGTATTTATCCCACTATCCTTTGAACTAGTAACACTTTCCTTATCAGCATCTATCAAACCTTCTTCGACAGCCATCTTTTCTATACCCTCCGGAATAACATCA